CCTATGACTTAATATGCCCACAGCTACAGCTTTATGCTCAGCAGAGGGAGGAGTTGCAATTCATGGTGTAAAAGCATGTTTATTTTGCTCCCTGCAGCCAGCAGAGAGTCTCATGGAAGGGGGTTTGGTGCTCACCGAGGATGTCGGAGGGGTTCTTCCCGTTGGAGAATCTGCCGGTGGCCTTGCCGCCGGGGAAGTCCTTACCGTACGGGGGGAAGTTGCACCTGGCGATGGTCGGCAACATGTTGTTGTTCCCAGGGTCGACGATCGAGTCCCCGAACACCACCACCGCCGGTACCTTCGGCGTCGTCTTGTTTGCAGTCGTAGTCAGAGCTCGAACACCTTCAAGCAGCAGCAGCGGAAGTACGAGCGAGAGCGGAACAGAGCACTTGTCCTCCATCCCTGTTGATGGTGCAATAGTTCAAAGGCTCTTCTTAAATGCGGGTAGTCTCTGTCTACAGTAACTTCTTTCTTTTCTGTCTATTGAGTGTTGGTCTTTGCAGTATCTTCTTCTCTGACTACATTAACTTGTTTCTTTCTTTTTGTCTATTAAATGCTGGTCTTAGGTAGTATCTTCTCTCTGACGACACTAACTAACTTCTTCTACTTTCTTTCTAAGAGGAAATCTCCAAACACATCTTTTTAAGTTTAAAAGTTTTCTATAAACCATCTTAATTTTAAAAAATTCTTATATAATGTATCTAATTATATTAAAAAACTATTTTACCCTTACTCATATTGTGCCTATCGTCGCTTCTCGTCTTGTATCGTTGTCTCCTTCTTCTTATATTATTTTCACCATCACACATTTTTATTGGAATAAAAAGTGTTATGATCCAAATGGGATAGTGGATAGGGTCAACCATTGTGCCAGAGCCAACCCATCCATAGGCAACCGGGAGAGGGGGAAGGGTTGACGAAACTAGTTTGTATGTGAAGACATAGATAATCAGAAAAGGATGATCAACAAGTAAATAGAGTAATCGGTAAAACAAAAAAAAACGACAAATGGAGGATAATGCTCGATAAGGGCATGATAGTTATTTTAAAAATATATTATCTGAGAATTTTTTAAAAAATTAAAATATTTTGTAATAAATTCTTAAGATTTTTTTCTTCCGAAAATTCACTTTTTTTTTTTTTTTTAACCTTTTAGGTAGTGGTAGATGGAAAACAGAGAACGTGTGTTCTCCATTCCTTTCGGTGGTCCAATTCAAGACTGTCCTTTCACTCCTCCTTGCCTATCAAATGGTGTTCCAGTACAAGACTTTTCTTCGAGAATTCACCCTCTTAGGTATTGGTAGATGGAAAACAGAGCACCTGTTGTCCATTCCTTTCGGTGGTCCAGTTCAAGACAGTCCTCCTTTCACTCCTTTTTGCCTATCAAATGCTGGACTTTTAACTATATCTTCTTCTCTAATTACGCTCAGCTTTTTCTTCTTTCTTCTGTAGTTACACTGAAAGATGCAAACAGAGCACTTGTTTTTGGTGGTGCAGTTCAAGACTCTCCTTCAATCCTTGGTTTTTCTTTCCCCTCTATCAAACACTTGACTTAGCAGAGTATCTTCTTCTCTAAATACACTTGACTTCTTTCTTTCACCTTCTTGTTGGATTTCTTGGAAGTAAGGGAAGATGCAAGTTGCTGGTTTGGACATGATGAACACCAGAAGCAACAACCAGTCGTTCCTGGTGGATGGGCAAAGGCTGAGGTGCCAAACAAGTAATGGAATCTGCTCAGCACTGCAAAAATTGTAGTAGGTTTAAATTCTAAAAAAATAGTATAAATTGCAAGGGTATTTTTTGTTATGGTTGATTTGATCTTAGGTTACCTGTCCTCTGTGGTTGTAGGCTTTGCATGATGATGGACATGGCTCAGAAGCTTGATGAGATGATTTATTCTTATGTTGTCTAATATAAAGCATGGCTGATGAGATGTTAAAAATGACAAAAAAAACTATATAGTTTGAGCAACTACATGCATTCAGTAGTATTTTCAACATTCTTAGCTGACAACAAACTTGGCCCTGATAAAGTAATTAATTAATTATATTTGATTTGTCAAGCTTTCTTCTTCTTCTTTTTTTTTTTTTTCCTTTTTGGAAGAACTTGTAACAAAAAACAGATGTCTTGAACTTGTGAATCCTCAAATGGAATTAACCCTTAGCAGAAACTCATTCAAATAGTCTTATCTTCCCTACCAAAACAAAGATGGTGTGCCTCACTCAGGTCACAGCAACTGTTGAATGTGGTCAACATGAAAGTAACATTCTTCCATGTTCTTGTATCTTGGAAGAAAACTTCCATTGCACTCTGCTGCAGTTTTGCATAGATGATAGGACAATGGTGATGGAAGTTGATTTTGGAGGAGGAAATGGGTGGAATGGTCATTTACTTTCGCCTACTACTTCTAATGTAAACATTCCAAAATTACTCACAATATTGAATGTTGATTAAGAATTTTATTTTATTTTATTTTATTAAAAAAATCTAGGTATTAAAGGGACTGACATATATGAAAGACTTAAATATTGATATGATAAAGATGTAGGGACCCCAAATTACTTCTTCTATCATCACTTTGGTAACAGATTGGGTTAAGTGGATGAAAAAAATTTCCCAGTGAGCTACGTGAAATTGTTGGATAAACCAAAGTCTAGATTAACCCATAGGCTGCGTATAAAATAATTAATCTCTCTAATTATCAAAGCAGTAAAATATATTTTTAATGCTTCTAGTACGAGTTAAACCACATGTTGTCTGAGTCAAGAAGCTTCCAACAAGTAACCAAAAATATTTTGAATAACTACCAAGACAAGAACACCCGACATGGGTAGACATTTACCTGCACATAGTATCGAAGGATCACCATCAACGGATTCCATGAACAATACCAAGAATGTTTAATACATATCGACTAGACAACGGCAGGCTATATAAAAATGAGTATATAAAATGAATTTTTGCCCTACAAGAAGAGAATGTAAACACCAAAATTCCTCAAATGATACTGAAAAGAAGTAATAGTGTCGTGATAATATGTTTCTTTTTAATGAAAGAGGACAAACAAATTAGGAAAATGAAAAAGTCGCTTAAGTTCAGAATGACCAATATCCAAATCCTCAGGAACTCAAAAATGAGAATAGTTCGGACCTTCTTTATGGAGAAAGAAAAGGTTTGCAACCAAAAATAAAATGAGGAACAGTTCAGAAATGAGATAATGATGGAAGATGGTGATAAGATATCACCATCAGCACCATTTGCCCATGTGTAGAAACCTCATAATTGTAGTCTCTATCTATGTTTCCCTTTTTCTCTTCAATTCTTTTCTTTTCTTTCTTTTATAATTTTCTGTTGTTTTTTTTTTCTTTTTGTAATTTATCCCTTTCAACCTGAGGCAAAACTGGCAGATTCTGGCACAGCAAACGTAGACCTTAACCTTACAAACAACCAATAGAACTCCATTCCTCCATCTGTGAAGGATGAACTTCATCACACATTAATCCTGACTAAGCTGCTTCCAGATTTGGTCCAATCAACCTTGATCAGTGTCCAATGACTTGCCCAGTATCATTTCATTTACGGTTCTCATAGCTACTTGCAACTAATTGCTCAGGATCCTAGATGCTGATCTACTAGTAACACCTCGCTAAGATTTGGTATACTCATGCTACTCCAGTCAGCAGCTCCCTCTAGTCGAACAGATTGCACGCAAGCTTACAGATTATCAGAGTTTGGTGTTGCTGGAGACTGACTGGAAATATTAGCAAATTGGTTGTTATTTGGTGGCAGAACCCAATTCATCCAGTCATTACGCTTCCTTATTTTCTCACCCTGCAATAAGCGTGGCAGAAAAGATGAAAGATTAGTAGCTACATCAGCATAAGTCCAATGTGTGTGAAATAGAGAGAAAGAGAATAATGATCTTCGCTATAGTTCTTTTTTCAAAAAGCACAATGTAGTGATCAGCCACAGGATAATGCCATGTTTACTATGTTCATCACCTATTTATTTAAAACGGTAGGTCACAAACACAAAACTAAAGGGGATGGTTTAAAAAATTTCATGGCTAGCACATCATTCGTTCATCTTTCCAATAACATTATGAAAATGCTGGATTAAAAAATCTAACTAAGCTTATAGAAGGTACCTGTACTTCCACTTCAGTTGATAACTGCACTGTATCCAATATAAAGTCAATGCTGTTTGTTAATTGCCTCACCTGCAAAACATTGTGACAGCAATTTTTCACAGTGCATGAGTGTACTTCAGTAGGAAATGAAAAAAAGATCAAAGAAACCAGAAGCAAAAGGAAACATATTCTAATCCATATTAAACATCCACAAAGAATCTAAACCTAACCACACAACTAATAGCCTCAACATAACAGCTCTTCAGGGTTTAGCAACACATCATGTCCTTCCAAAATCATTTAAGGTAGATTAGAATCACATACTGATATTTTAAACTGCTAGAGTAAGTTCACCGTATCAGATGGATGCAATACATTCAGCCAGGTAGTCGGTGGTGTGTTTCAGGGCTCCCTTACCTCAGGTCGAGGGCACAAACCCTCGCCATAGCATTTCATGCACTCATCCTTTCGCCCCATGTGATAGTTTTGACTTCCAAAAATGGGGTCTACTATGTGCCAAGTGGCATCACAAACAATTAAAAGAAGGATGAAATACAGGTAACGGTATCTTTATCCATAATGAAGCTAAAGTTTCCAAAAACATGTGGTTCACCAATTCCCTGACTAAACATCTTCAATTGGTACTTAATAGATTCAAATTTATTAAAATGACTAAAGAATGTGAGATGATTTCATTAGGATTAAGGAAACCATACAAAAATGACTCAATAGCATTGTATCAATTAGAGCCGTTGTGGACCATCAAAACTGTAACTAAATACGGCTTGTAGGTCTGATCGATTATTTGGATTAACAAAAAGACTCAGAAGAAAAAGAGAAAAGTGGCTTTAAATGGATTAAATCACTTGCAACTAATTCTGTAGCTAGAGAAAAAAAAGGAACATCATGAATCCCAGTCACATATATGTCGGGCAACAGCAACAATCGTGGGATATGGCTTTATAAAAACGCCCATGAAATAAATTCATAATGAATTGATCATTATTTTATCTAAAGAAAACATCTAATCAAAACCATTGCAGAAGTATGCTTGATCTCAAGTTCAAATGAGTACTCATCAGTAGTCAATTTGACTGGTAACACGATATATTCACTGAAAAAACAAATGATCAGATTCAGGTGGCAAAATCAAGGATTTAAATTTCGATCTGATACTGATTTCAGCAATCAGTCAGACCAATAACTGAGAGGTTTCTAGTGGTTAATGTAGTCAGAATTAAGGGTGCTGATAAAGAGCCTTACATATAAGAACAGATATCCCTTACAGATGAATATAAAAGAGAGGCAGCATTGCAAGTATTATCAAAATTATTATATCCACCATCAGAGGTTAAACTGACAGTAGTACTTCAGGATGCATATAATTTGTGTTGGGATCCAGTTATATAAGGTACGTCAAGCTCCAAATTTCAGCAGACCAGCATGGAATTCTGTTCAATAGGTCAATAGGACTATAGCATCCAGTCAGACAACTCACAGCCCAGATTGGATCAGGATATAGAAAAAGCATTGGAAGAAGAAAAGAGTGAAAACAACCTATTAATTTCTCAAGTTAATAGCAAATAACAAAACAAGCAAAGTTTCAATTAAGATACCGAGCCAACATAAACATCAATCATAGGAGCAAGGTTTTTGCTCAAATGAACATAGTGAAGAGCAAACTTCTCTTTCTTCTATAGAACAATTAAAGCACTTAGCTATCCTTCCTAATGAAAAGAAAAACTAGGTGCCATTGCACAAACTAAATTCTACAGAACAAACAAGAACAAGATTACAGAAGGTCCACTAAGGGTTATTGCAACCCTAGACATAGTAAATAGAAACTACAAGTTCAGATTCCACATTCTGCATCACTATTGGATTTTCAATCATTGCTCCCATACAAATAAAGGTGTGTAATATTCTGTTTAAAGTATATCAAAATGCACACCACCTAAAACCTGCATGCCATGAGAAAGCTAGTTTCTTGTCGGTTAAAAGAGGCAATTCACCATAATAAGCAAAGTATAACTCTTGCAACATTTTCCATGATGACAATATGATACTTCTACATGCATGCTGTTTGATAAAATATTAGCTTTTATAAGCAAAGTATAAACATTTTCCATTTTCCATGCTCTTATATAAACTTTTGGCATCAGTTATTTTGCGGCACTGAGTGCACTGATGCATTTCCATTCACCTGAGCCCAACACACGTGCTATAACCCCATCTTGGCAATAAACTACCGATTCAATTGTTGCCTATAACCCCCATTTTGGCCTACAGTTGGTGTGGTAGGTGCTACTGACATGGGATGACAATTACAATGCATGGGTGTTGGTACTTGGTATATCTAGAAAGGAGAATGGCCAACAAAAAGCAATATCAGTACTAAACTTCTATTTCTATTTGACCTGCTAATGCACTCCTTCAATTCTATCCCTTTATGTTGGCAATGGGGGTCTTCTTTGGTGACACGAGACAGTGATGACATGTGGTTGGGCATGTTAATCATTGATTGACAAGGCTTGTTGTGTCACAAGCACTAAGGCTTGCTCTAAAGTCACATACAGCAGAATGGGATTGACAAAACTACCTGATCAGACTATCAATGTCAGGTTTGGTATTGCACAACCACTTGCAAGTTTTTGCAATAACCAAAATAGCTTGTAGACAATGATTTGTGATGCAATAACCATGATCAATGCTATTAAGTAGTCTCATACAGAAAAATGACACCTAATTTGTGATGCTATATAGCAAGAAAAACCAATGTTTCACCCATAATATATGAAGCCCCACCAGGCACATAAAGGAAGCAGATCTTCTTTAGTCTCAGGTGGCCGTATAGTAGAGGACAGTCCAAAAGCCTTCATGACCAAAATCTGGATCGCATGGTATTTTTCTCGAGTCCCATGTGATAGCATTGACAAAGCATGAATGCCAATTTTTGATAAGAATTTTAAGATTTTTGGTCTAAAGTGACATCTTTCCATATTGTCACGGACTTAGCTGGTTTTGTATAAGTCGTGAGGCATCTTTGCGTATCTGTCCGCAAAGGGTCAACCTCTCCGAAACCTCTTACGGTCCCTTAAGGACCTGCAAAAGAGAAGATGGGTTAGATGAAGCATTTAACTCAGGATCCGACAAGCAGCCATTTTAATAAGCACTTGATATGCAATGCAAATTACAAGCATAGACTTCGCAAGCTCTGAACGGTCGTGCGACAAAAGGTTCAAGGTGATCCGCAGCGACCAAAAGTCTCCACAAGTGCCCACATGACATTGTTGCGGAACAAGACAACGAACTAGCCCTAGACATAACCATAAAGGCTAATCTAGCCATATGCCACCCGGGTAGCTCTCGGGTGCTGTGTTGGCTGACACTTTGCACCACTTTGCGGAGTTAGAAATCCCATAAAATGGTTGCCTGGATGGCCTGTTTCTAGAGAGTTTTGCCTCTGTGTAACGACTGCACATAACCGATGTTTATAAGCCTGAAAAGGCCATAAAAGCCAACCAAAATGGGGCTGTCAAACCTATTGTAAACCCTCTATAGGTTGTGAAAAGCATGAACAAAATCGAAAGATACAGACATACACGAGTATTACATTGAACACAATATTTACAACTTTATCCATGGCATTCTCCCTTATTCCTTCAACGACCTCATCAAAGCCATTGCAGACATTGCATCTCTTCGCCTTTGGTGAATCTTCAATCTTCTACTCTATTTGCAACACGCCTCTTGGCTCCCAATTGCTCTCCGTTGCTATTGTTGAGTAGTCGAACTTTGATCCACTACGCTACTTCAACTCGCCAATGACTCTTACTATGGCGTGGGGTCAGTCGAGTTGTGCTAATCTTTGTTGGTTCCTGCAGATCCTTCATATGAAGGAAAATACCTTATTTGTTATACGCTAGTCTCTCACACGTCTCGCGTCGCTTGAACTAGGTGAATGCCTATTAATACTTTAACGAACATTGCCTCGCAGAAGTTTTTGAGGTCTTTCCTTCACAAAATTTTCCCATCGATTCCTCTTCTACTTAGTTATCACCTCCAAGTAGATTCGTATCACTACCGCTTTCGATTGACATTCTGTTGGGAAATGAAGCGAACAGCCTGCTCTTGGTAGAATCGATCACTGTTGGTGGGAATTTGACAATTGTTGTCTTCCACTTTCTCTGAAGGGTTTTTAAACATGTGCAGAGCTCCTATGTTAGATAAGCAAGAGAACCGGGGTACTCGGTTTCGCCCATTCTCTTACAAGTTGAGAAGACAAAGGTTTTGAGAAGGCAAAGGTTACTGGACTTCCCTCGCTTCCTCAAGGGTTGTACTCTATGCATCGAGCTGGGTACTAGCCTTCGTTTGCCTTTTACTCACACTTCTGAAGCACCCAAAGTGTTTGCACACCCTACATTAAGTTAGCTACTGCGATTCACCTTCTCATTGCCATCGAACTTCTGGAATGTAAGAAATTTCGCCACAACTTGGATTAATTCTCTAATAGTTTTGGTCACCTCTGGGATTGTACCATCTTCTTCATCATTTTTGCTGTGAGTATAAAAGGTATAGTATCACACACTACCTATTTCGTGCCTTAGTCGAGCACTCCTGTATCGACCCGAAGTCCCCCACTTTCGACTATTTTGATGAGAAGCCTATTGACACTGGTCTTACGAAGTTTCCTAACCTCTGCCCTTTAGCTTTATCTCGGTATTTGGAGTTTACCTTTGCATTCTCCACCTCCTCGGCCCCTTTCATGACCAAGCACTCTCCCTCCATGAGAGCAAAAGATCGATGACTCCATGGAAGCCCCCCCTCTGTGGTACCATGGCGTTGCCATACCCATGGCCCTACTATCTGTCGCCTTGCATATGCATCCCTTTCTTCGCGATCAGTAGATCCGCCTCTGCAACACCGTGACACTCCTCCAAGTCTACCTCAATTCTAATTGACACTTGGTTTTAGATAGCTAAGTCCCTCTGGACTCGTCGCTTTCTCGCCCCTTTCGACTACTTGTTTTAATACATCTGTGTTCTCCAAGCAGTTCCCCTTAATCGATGGAAAGATAAACTGCAACTCTTATGCATGGCCTCCGCCATCATGTTACAGGGCTCGTATTGATTCAGTTCTCCCTTGTATTCTTGGTAGCAATGTTCACTTACTCGATCTTGTCCTCTGACTTGCTAGGCTCCCTTAAGCGAATATGAGCTCTGGAGCAATCCAACTCTCCAACTGCTCTGATCATACCTATGTATGATCAAATCCCCTCATAGGACTCACTAATACTTGCACTCGAAATTTACCCATTGGTGGTACACAGCCCCATATGTTGATGACCAAGGCTTTCATTCGATACACACATAGAATACCACCTCTACGGTACCATGACATTTACTCCTTGAATTCATAACCCTTCTTACCATTATGTTGTTCACAGAAGTGGAGCTTTCGGTAGCTCCTGATCATACCTCCATATAATCAAGTCCCTCGCAGGACTTCTCCCGTGTGTGTCGCATTACCTCGAGCCGTTTTATCTCCCGTGTTTGTCGAACTGTTCCATCATGATCCGCTGCACCATGTCGCCTCCTGATAGCATCTCCATTGCATTATGATCTTCATGGGATAAACTCAAACCGCGATCTCTCTATGTGTGACCTCCGCCACCTCCGATTGTATTCGCTCCTTTGGTAATTAACCTTCATCCACCCGCTCTCGGTCACACTTGAATGAAGCACAGTTCTAGGACAGTCCGTCGCCTAGCAACTTTCGAAATCCACCAAATTCATTGAAGTTGGCGGGCCATTATCTGTATCCTAGGCTCTTGACCCCAACATAATCTTCGTAACTCACCGCTTCCTTCGCAACAACTTGAATGGCAGCACTGCGACATTTTCTTCAAGAGTACTTGCCTCCACATCCTCTTGCCCCGTGCCAAAGCCTTCTGACCCCAACTTCAGCTCTGCAAGTTAGTAATTCCCTTCACTTTTGTGAACTTTGCACAATTCTTTCGGTTGCCAAGCAACTCATCCCTCCTTGCACAGTCTCATCCTTTGCCAAGTGCCCCACTTGCCTTGAGCACTGTCAAGTTTGGTTGCCAACGTCAAGCCGTATCTCGAACTTTGCCATCCCAACCTTTGTGCACTATTTGTTCTTTCTAGCTCACTTGTTCTTATGGTGCCTCTTACGCGAAGGATTGATCATTCCTTTGAATGTCAATCTTGAATGCTCGTTCCTCTGAGTGACACATTTCCCTACCTCTCAATGCCAGTTTCTCTCAGATAGTCACGCGTGCTGGCTGCGCTTAACGTAGCCCCGCTAGGTTCCTCACGTTTGCATACCAAGTGTTTCTAAGAGTGCTTGTCCTGCTTTAAAACCATCTATCACGGATTTAGTCGATTTTGCCTAAGTCGTGCAGCATCGTTGCGTATCCGTCGGTAAAGGGTCAGCCTCCCTGAAATCTCTTACAGTCCCTTAAGAAAGAGTTTAACTCGGGATCCAACAAGCAACTATTTCAACAAACACTTGATATGCAATACAAATTACGAAAATAGACTTCGCAAACTCTGAACGGTCATACGACAAAGGGTCCAAGGTGGTTCGCTGCAACCAAAAGTCCCCACATGACATTATCGCAGAACAAGACAACAAACCAGCCCTAAACACTACCTCAAAAGCCCATCTAGCGATGTGCTACACTGAGTAGCTCTTGGGTGTTGTGATGGCTGACACTTCAAACCACTCTACAGACTAAAAAACAAACCCCCAAAATGATTGTCCGAATAGCCTATTTCTGAGTAATTTTGCCTCTACGCAATGACTGCACACAACCTGCATTTACAAGCTTGAAACAACCACAAAAGACAAATAAAATAGGACTGCTAAGCCTACCACAAACCCTTTACATACTTTGCAAAGGATGAACAAAACCAAAATATACGAACATGCACGAGCATTACATCGAACACCCTATTTACAACTTTGTCGGTGAAAGTATGCTGTTGGAAAAGAAATTTAATGCATAGAAGAAACTAAAGATCTACAAATGCACCAGGACTTCTTTATTTTCTAATAAAAACTAACTACAATAGTATAAGAGCAAAATATATTACACATTCTGTTCCACCTAAAAAGATCTGGTTAAGTAGTCTACATGATTGCAGAAAAAAATACTTTATCCTAAAGCCCAGAAGATTATATGCAGGTAGGATGCATCACACTTAACGCACTAAGGAAAAGAAGACAGTCATTTTTTATTTGAAACATAAACACAGGGATATCCTCATACAATGTAACATTCCACTGTAACTTGACATTTATAGCAATGACATTAAAATAATCAATGTTTCGAAATATGTTCCATGTCGCTAGAGATATTGACTAAAAGATAATAATAACAAGCATAAAATGGATACATACAATTATCATCTCAAGCAAGCAATGGTTAAGCAAATTTACTATCACCATAGATATACTTTCATATCATACATGAACAAATATATAGGCTAATACAAATATAACCATATGAAAAAAAAAAGCCAACCTAATGCATGAGGCACCAACGAAAGATCCATAGAGGATCAATGTATGTGATCTTTTCCCTACAAGAGGTTTTTGTGACTAGAAGCAGCATCCTTAACATAACACCTAGACTCGTGCTCAAAATATAAAATATAGCCATGTATATATCAACATACAGTGGTCCAACCAAGAATAACCTAGGCATCTTAGACCTGATTACTGCCTAAACTGATATTCATAAAAGCATTAAATTTCTTGCTATGGAAACCTAGAGTGCCTTGCCACAGTGGCTCGCAGAACATCCTTAAGAAGCTGCACTACCAAATAACAAGCACAAACTACTGAATAACAAAATGCAATAACATGAATCTTAGCCTCTAGCTCCAGGCCCAACGAAATAATGCTTCTCAAACATAGGCCTTCAAGCTGAAGTTTTACCAATGCTATCTTTCAAACTCCATCTTAAATGAACCATATAATACAGAAAAAATCCTTTAAGCATTTAATTGGACTTACCTAGCGTCAAACAATATTTATCAACAATTTCCTACTACTTGGTGGTTTGAACCTTATAATCAAGACTATATCTACAATGTAATTCAATCAAATCATCAAATCTGATTGACTTGCTTATTGATTTAATGTGCCAAGGGAAACTATAAAGACGTAGCATCAAGAGTTGTACTGAACCACATGAATATCATATGGATTGAAACCACATACAAGTAAAGAAAATGTCCTATCCATAAAAATGGGACCTCAGCTATGGTTTGTGTTTCCTGAATCAACAACATAATCTCCTAGGTATAGAAACAGGATCTTCACTAGATCTTCCATGATTTGTTAACTGACTGATAACTGATCTTGATCAGCAAAAGATAAAGTTTTCATTTATTTGGTATAAAAGAACATATCTCAATTCATTTATGATTCCTTAAGTTCCCATCCCCATGTTAATCTACTACCTTTGTTTAATGTGGTACTGCAAATTGCAAAAATTCATATTTTACTTGTTTATGATCCATGAATGTACAAAATGAACTTGGAACAGATTATAGCTGCAGAACAAGCTAAGAGGCTGGTTGGGTTCTCAGAGTTGAGTGCAATTAAAATGATAAAGGCAACCACTATGTCATCATCAAATCTCCAACTGATGCATCACCTACAATTTTTATGAAACAAGCCATCATAATATCATGCCCGGATCAAATCATATAACTTCAAGTGTTTAATGCTATCTAGTTGCACATGAAACTTAACATTTCACATTATCAATATTTTATAATATCATTCCTTCAAAAGCTGTAGCCGATGCAGAGAAACTTTGCTCTTTGTACTACTCAAATTTCTAACAGAAAACACAATGCAGGATAACTTTACTTGCAAGAACATAATAAAACTTGTTAATTACAATTCCAGCAGAAAATTAATAACATTCATCCTTAGAAGACTGATAGCATTCCATGTTCCACAAAATACAACTGAAACCACAATAAACATCTTGGAAAATACTAAAATGACAACGGAGACAGAATTCTGCCTTGGAACAACTATTATTATTAATTGTGATACACAAAAAGGGCAATCGAAGAATAATTTGATCCCTAAAGTAAATTCTTATATTCATGGCCGACTAATATTTCTGTTCCATTTTACAGAAGAGTAGCATTGTTCACTTGCATCAGCAGACAATCATTTTCTGCTATAATATAATGGCTCAATTTTAAATTTCTCTATATAAAGAAATAGTGGTTGCCATTTTTTGTTGAAAGAAGAAGTTAACAGCAATACTAAATTAACTACAAGAACTAGTGAAGGTACATTTTTTGTTGAAGTGAATTGACCCCATGATTCTCATATTAGATGAGAATATACTGATGCATTGTCAGACAGACATATCAACAATATAGAAAGCAAATAGACCAATGTGAAGGAATAAAATCCAAATGCTCAATAATATATGTGTTATTACTGCTATCTATCAACAAAGAAAGATTCAACACAATCATGCAGACAAGAACTCCCAGTCGTTCAACCATTAATGAGGAAAGTTCAAAGATTACATCATGCTTGGCATACAAATGAAAAAAATTCATCATCCACATACACACAAACAAACAAAGAATAGTATGGAAGCAGAGGCCAAAGGATATTATGCATTAACATGAACTAGCAATACAAAAAAGAAACATTTGGTATTACTATTAAAAAATATCTCACTCTATTGAATCCAGCGATCAAGGATATTGGAACCCATCCTTGCTCGTCCATGTTTTGCCGCAGGAAAACATCTTTACATAAATTATCGGAGCTGAATAGTTAAGAAACGCTGTCACCTAAAGAAGCTTTCAATTATGTTAAAATAATCATCAAATTACGGACAAGCTGTTCACCTGAAATAGTAATCTATCTGCTTCAAAAGACTAGCACGCTGTGGATCAATAGTTGGGATAAATACTGCAGGTGGAAGTGCCGGATGAGGAACAAAGGGCACACCTCCAGGAGGTGGCTGAGTGGCAACATAAAAGACAGGAGAATGCATATCTGAAGGCAAATTAAGAACATTGCCGGAACAAATGAAACATACCCGCAGTAGAAGGGAGATACTTCAGATCCTTTACCAAGACAACAGAACTTACCAGGGAATACCATCGGGTAAGGACGGACCTGCGATGGAGAGGTGAGGAATGGGGGTGCTACAGGTGGCACAGGCAGCCTGAGGTAAGGCCTGGCACCCCGGTGCGGAATGTGGGCATCTCTCCCACCAGCATTCCTACGATATCCATCATAG